GGGAATAAGAGATCTCTGCTTTCATGCAGAAGGGGGGAGAGAGGTTGAAAATACTATCCATAATTTGAGTTAATTAAAATAATCCAAAATAAAATCTGAATAAGACATGCTTCTTCTTTGTGGCATTCTGATCTCTCTGAATTCATTTTGTATGTACAGAGAATTCCTTTGTCTGCTGTACAGGGATAACAGATAAAACAATGCAGAAAGGAAGTAAACTGTGACCCATGAAAATACTGATAATGTATCCCATTGGATAGAGACAGTGATCTTGATTTTCAGTCTTACTTTTTATGTTCTGGTGGTTTTAATTAGAGCAATGTTTGAAGTAAGATGAAATTAATTTCTTATTTTGGAAAATAATTAACTATTGATTATGCTCCATAATTATACATGCCTGGAGGTAGCTATCAATAAAAGACATTGAAAAGCCCCAATTTCACTGTCATGTGCCCCATTTAGAATCTTTAATAAGAAGAATTAGCATAGCATATGAAATGTGTTGAAAATGGACTTTTTAATCACTTAAAATATTTTCCTATTTTTACTATAATGGCAACCACAATAGCTTATGTAGAAAATGTGATCAATGAAAAGCGGTTGATGCATTTTTGACTCTTAGTTCAATTTAGCAACTTGGAATAAGGGGGAAAAAGTCAGCACCATGAAGCTAGAGGTACTCTGTAGCTTACCACCACGTGATCTATTCATCACAGTTTGAGAATCTTTGTATTATTATTATAGCTTGCTGGAGGCCACAAATTGTATCAGAACAGCCTCTGATATAGTCAGTTTATTTTGGGTCTGACCACAATGTTTTTGCTAATTATTAAATCTTGATTTTGCACACACCAGAATATTGAAAAGTTCAAAATTCCTTAAAGCAAATGTCATGCCAAAATTATTCAACACTTATGTACTGAGGTAATTATGGTTTTGGCATCTTCCTAGAAATTCACACAAAAGGAAAACATGGTTTTTCCTTGGTTCTGAAAAATGTGTAAAATCTACCCATGTTCAATATTGTAGCAGAGTTCAATAGTTATTAAAGTATTGCTTCCAAATGATATGATTAAAAACCCTTATCACAAGTTATAACTATGCATCTATAAAGCTGTCTAGTAAATTTCTCGGTGATCTATTGGAAATTCATAGATTTTTAAAGCCAGAAAGGACAGTTATGATGATCTTATCTGATTTCCTGCCTAAACAGGCCATACAGTTTCACCAGACATTTCTATATTGGGGGAAAAAAGGTATTGTGCTCTACTATTAAAATTAACACTATTCAGTCCAATAACTTGTGGATGAAGTAGTGAATATATTCTGTGCTTATACTGCATTTAGTGCATGGGAGGGGAAGGAGGCTCCCAGGCACTACAATAACTCTGACCTCTGTAATGAGATAATTGGTAACAGTTGTGGGCTGTTCTCCTCTGTGTGGACCAAACACCAGAAAAGAATGACTGACACACACACACACATACTTTCTTAATAGTTTGCTGATGTCAGAGGAACCATAAGACTTGAAATTGTGTTTGATATCAGGCTTCAGAGGGGAGTGTTCATTAATGGTTATAGACTCTTCTTGCCCAATGTGCTCATCTCCCTCTGCTCCTATCCACTCCTAATTTCCCACCACTCTGCTCCTATCTACTTTTCCAACTATTGTTCCCCTCATCTTCCCTCTTCACTTCTATTCAACACCGCAGCCATTGCTGAGTGAGGAGGGAGAAATAGTAACCGGAAATTTGGAAATGGCAGAAGTGCTTAATAACGTCTTTGTTTCAGTCTTCACCGTCTGATGATGAAGGAATGCCTAACATAGTGAATGCTAGTGGGAATGAGGTAGGCTTAGAAGATAAAATTGAAAAAAGAACAAGTTCAAAATCACTTAGAAAAGTTAGATGTCTGGAAGTCATCAGGGCCTGAAGAAATGCATCCTAGAATACTCAAGGAGCTGATAGAGGAGGTATCTGAGCCTTTAGCTATCATCTTTGAAAAATCATGGAACTACAGACCAGTCATTTTAACTGTGCCAGGGAAGATTAATAATGAAGCCAGTAATTAAGGAATCCATCTGCAAACACTTTATACTGATAATAGGGTAATTGGTTTGACATGATTTGTTCTTTACAAATCCAAGCTGGCTGTTATCATATCAAAGAAGCATCAGATAGGTAACAAGTCTTGTGGATAAGGGAGAAGCAGTGGACATGATATACCTAGACTTTAGTAAGGCATATGATACAGTCTCACATGATATCAATAAACTGAGCAAATACAACTTAGTTGGGGCTACTATAAGGTGGGTGCATAACTGGCTGCATAACCATTCTCAGAGTAGTTTTTAATGGTTCACAATCCTGCTAGAAGGGCACAGGGAGTCTGTTTTGGGACAAGTTCTGTTCAATGTTTTCATCAGCTATTTAGATATTGGCATAGAGAGTATGCTTATTAAGGTTGCAGATGATACCAAGCTGGGAGGGGTTGCAATTGCTTTTGAGGATAGGGTCATAATTCAAAATGATCTGGACAAACTGGAGAAATGGTCTGAGGTAAATAGGATGAAGTTTAAATAAGGATAAATGCAAAGTACTCCACTTAGGAAGGAACAATCCGTTTCACACATACAGAATGGGAAGCGACTATCTACGAAGGCGTACTGCAGAAAGGGATCTAGCGGTCATAGTGGAACACAAGCTAAATATGAGTCAACAGTGTGACGCTTTTGGAAAAAAAGCAAACATGATTCTGGGATGCACTATCAGGAGTGTTGTGAGCAAAACATGAGAAGTCATTCTTCCGCTCTACTCTGTGCTGATTAGGCCTCAATTGGAGTATTGTGTCCAGTTCTGGGCAACACATTTCAGGAAAGATATGGAGAAATTGGAGAGGGTCCAGAGAAGAGCAACAAGAATGATTAAAGGTCTAGAAAACATGACCTATGAGGGAAGAGTGAAAGAACTGGGCTTGTTTAGTTTGGAAAGGAGAAAACTGAGAAGGAACAGAGCAGCAATTTTCAGGTATCTAAAAGGGTGTCACTAGGAAGAGGGATAAAAATTCTCCTTGGCCTCTGAGGATAGGACAAGAAGCAATGGGCTTAAACTGCAGCAGGGGAGGTTTAGGTTGGACATTAGGAAAAAGTTCCTAACTGTCAGAGTGGTTAAACACTGGAATAAACTTCCTAGGGAGGCTGTGGAATCTCCATCACTGGAGATATTTAAGAGCAGGTTAGATAGACATCTATCAGCCCTCTTAGCCTTGGTATAGATCCAATCTTCCTAGACCCTGGCCCTGCTTCCTTCCCTGTCTGCACCTATACAACCTTCCTATCCCTGTTTTGTAACCCCTTCTCTGAACATTTATATACCCACCAATCCCCGCTAATCCGATATTCCTCCCTCTCTGCTCTCCACTGCCCCCTGCAATCTTCTCCCTGTGCTCCTCATTCTCTGTATATTCAAATGAGGAGGATTCCTTCTCCTCTTCCAGGATGTGTAAGTGCCAGCAGGAGAGTACAATGAGGCTATGTCTACACTATGGTGTTGTTTTTTTTTTCAAAAATGCTAATTAGCATTTTTTCATGCTTCATTTGCATCGTCTCTTCAGATCCGTTTTTGCACAAGAGGTTTTTGCCTGGAGAGGCATAAGGATCTTGTGCAAAAAGGGTTTTTTGCGCAAAATGGAACCGTCCACACTGCATGTTTTTGTGCAGAAACCTCCTGTAGTGTAGACAGCCTGAGAGCACAAGAGAGACAGTCTTCCTACTCTGTTCTGGTGCCCAGTTTCATAGCAGTCGTAACAGGGTATCAGGCAACCTTATCTACAGGTGGCACTAACAGCCCTGTCTATTATAGATGTGGTTTTATATTATTTTTGTAAATGCTTTTTCTTTCCCTCTTCTTCACCAGGATGGTTTTTAATGGGTATAGCAATCTTTCATGATGGCCAAATTACACATTTTTGTTACCTAATAAAGAGTTCTAAAAACTATTCCCAATCATCAGTCAGCGTTTCTGTTTTTTAAATTTTCCGCTCACAATTACCTTCCTCTTTTGAAATGGTCCTTTTAAAGAGCCACAGATACATATTAGTTACTTTTTGTGCAGCTCTGATGTTGGAGCTCCCTAGCAGAGGCAGGTTAAGTGCTTGCTAACACATACACAGTGAAATGCATTTATACCTCTTTTGTCCCTTACTGAAAGCAGCCGTTATGTTAACAGCCAATTCTCAAAGCACACTGCATTAAAATTAACTGTCTCCAAAGCCTTTTGTCTGAGCTACTCTTACTGAACTAGTAAATCACACCAGGTTAGTAAAACATGTTCAACCAATTCCTCCTGTGCGTCATTGGTAAGATATAAAAAGTTATTTTCCATAAATCTCCTTCTGTTTATACTCCCTATTCCTATGAACACTTTAAAAATGCCCAATTATAGCAAACATTATCTTCTAGATTATAACTGGCTCATTTGTAACACTTATCTATGGTTAGATAATTGTGCATGTTTAACTTACCTTGTCCATCTAGTACCCACAAGGGTTGGCAGAAAGAAAGGATAGGAACTTTATCTTCAGCTATTTGTGTCTGCTGATGTAGCTTCTTTCCTGCTTGTGAATAATAACTGGACTACTTTACATTGCTGAATTTTTGTTGGTTCTGTTTCTGTGCATAGAAATTTGTCATTGGAGAATCATCAGACCCCTCTCTGGCCTCGTCATCTGAGTAGAATGATCAACAAAATCAATCAGAAATTCCAAAAGCCAAACACATTTCTCCAAACATGGGAACTAGTAAAGGCTAATGAGATAAAAATGGCTGTACAATTTTGCAAATTAATAATTATTACTCAGCATTTATAAAGCACTTTTTACATGTGGTTTTTACACTACCAAGGTGATCCAGGCTGGGAGTTAATGGGCTTTTTTGACTCCATCAAAATTAAAAGGGAAATTTAGGTGTGTTCTTAGCATATATGCCTGATTAATTTTCTCCACTGCCCCCTGCAATCTTCTCCCTGTGCTCCTCATTCTCTGTATATTCAAATGAGGAGGATTCCTTCTCCTCTTCCAGGATGTGTAAGTGTCAGCTGGACCATGCATGTGTGGTTAGCGTCTCGCCCCGTTCGCTCCTTCAGCTCCCGCCAGTTCTTCTCAACCATCCTTGATTGCTGGCGGAGCTTCCTTCTTCTCCTCGGTGTGAGGATTGGTCATCTGGGGAAAAAAAAATTAGTTAGTTGTTCCTACTATACTGTTCCGGCTAATTTTAAAGAAAAAAAATTTTTTTTTTACTTAGTTAGCTTAGTGTTAGTCATATTAATTCAGGGTCCTTTTTACATTCTGGAACCATTATGCCTGGCTCGCCAGGTTTTAAGAAATGTTTCCTGTGTCGGGATGCGATGCCTGCTTCAGACAGCCATGCCGCCTGTATTCGCTGCCTCGGAAGTCACATATTTCCCAGAAGCGTACCCACTGCTCAAAACTGACTGCGAGAGCATGTAGGGACAGGGAAATGCATTTAAAAATGATAAGGCTTTACAGCCATGGTCACCAACTGGTCAATGGTGATTGATTGGTTGATCGTGAGGCCTTGACCAGTCGATCGCAAGGCGTTCGGGCCCCCCGCCATTTTCCCCCACCCCCAAGAAGCCCCACTACCTCCCTCCAGCGTAGTGCCGGCTTCCTGTGGGGTGGATGGAAGTCCTGCCTGCAGCTTTGCACCACTTCCGGGGGTTCCAGAAGAATGCTGTCTGCTCCCCTCCCACAGCTTTGTGGCGTGCTGCAGGAGGCGTCAGCCCCAAAGGAGGAGTACGGCAGCTTCCCTGCACCACAGGAGGGGTGGGTTGAGCGCAGGGGTTTCTCTGCGCCGGGCGAGCAGGGGTTAGTCCCAGGGCATGCACGCACGGGTGTTTGGTTGTGCCGCCGGAGGCACGCGCCAGCTTCCCTCTGAGTGGGGAAGAATCCGGGAGGAGGTGGGTGCAGGGGACTCTCTACCCCCACTGTCCCCCTGTTCCCTCTCTCCAGTCTCAGAAACCTGTCCCCAGCAGCACCCTGTCCCCAGCCTCAGAAATCTGTCCCCATTGGCACTCTATTCCCTGCCCTCCTGGCACCTGCTCCCCTGTCCCTAGCCGCAGAAACCTGTCCCCGCTAGCACCCTGTCCCCTGCCTTCCCAGCACCCTCTCCTCAGTCCCCTCTCTCCACTCCGCAGAAACCTGTCCCCACTGGCACCCTGTCCCCTGCCCTCCTAGCACCCTCTCCCTGGTCCCCTCTCCCCTGTTACCCCTCCCCACTCCCCAGCCTCAGAAACCTGTCCCCACTGGCACCCTGTCCCCTGCCGAAGCACTCACTTGCAACCTTACCCAGTACTATGTCCCCTGCTTCCACCAACACAGTTGAGGCCACGTTAGTGAAGCGTGGGGGAGGGGGGTTGGAGGAGGGTTTTTTTGCATCTCACTTGTGTGGCCCCAACTGACTTTTCTGTGGGTCAGTGATCCCTGCCTCAAAACAGGTTCCCTGTCCTCAGAAATAAAGACAATGCAGAAACTTTCTGTGTCTGACATAGTATTTTATTTAAAAATGAAGCCTGGCCAACAAACCACACATCCAGCCACAGTATCATAACACTCCTGCACTCCCCTTTCCCCCAGACCCTACATCTGAGCCTATCATACACTGGAACCCCCTGCTCTGAGCCCCTCATATACCCCAACCCAAATTCCTGAATCCTCACATCCACAAGCCTACGGCTTGCTTAGTACTCTAATCCTACATCTGACCCCAATACTGCCCATCCTGGAGCCCCCTCCCCGAGCCAGCATCCCCTTATCCACCTCCTCCTGCATCCAGATTTCCTCCCACAGCTTGCACCTCTCACCCCTTCCCACACCCAAATCCCTCATTTCCACCCCAGAGCCTACACATCCTGTCTCAATCCAGCGAGGGTAGGGCTAGACTGCAGGAGTTTTTCAGGACTCCGGAGATATCCCAGGAAAAACTCTTCTGCATCCAGGGATGCATTTGCTCTTCCACTTCTTTTAGTGGAAGAGCAAACATGATCTTTCGGTCACCCCTATATTCCTCTTCCCACGAGGTCTAAGGGGGCTTCCAAAAGGGTTTTTTTCTGACATTTGGTCCAGTCTAGACAGGCCAAATGTTGGAAAAATTTCTTCCTACAGAAGAATTGGGGGGGAAAAACAGCAGTATACGGACTGGGGATAGCAAGTGATGGAAAGGAGGAGAATAGAGAGGGGGGAGCTTCAAGGAAGGGGCGGGACGGTAGACCTTGGCTTGTTCTGTCATTTAAAAAGTGATCTTGGATGTAAAAAGGTTGGAGACCACTGCTTTACAGCCTTCAGAGGCTAGCCCTTCGGACTTGGCTGCGGCGCAGAAGCGGAGAGTGTCATCCCCTGGGGCGATGGCTTCAAAGAAAAAACAGGCCTCCCCCACCCTCTCGTTGCCTGCCACTCCCATGTGAAGACTAAGCCAGGGAGATAAGCCGGGCATTTCGGGAGTTGCCCGGCGGCCTCTTAAGCCCGTGGTACCGGCCAGTCCCAAAAGACCAGTTGCGTCAGCACTGTCGGTGCATGCTACATCAGCACCGATGCCATCATCTGCACCGAAGATCGTGCACAGATAAACTTTGGCACCATCGGAACGCTATTCAGCACCAATGAAGTGGACACCACGGAGGGAGCATGAAATGGCACCAAAGACTGCACCGCAGAGGGCATGAGAGATGGTGCAGGAGAAGGCCAGCAGAGGGAAACCTGTCCCCACTGGCAATCCCAGTACTAAGGGTGCGAGACACGGCGCCGGGGATGGCACCGCAGAGGGCGCGGGAGACGGCACCGGGCACGGTTCTCCATGCTCATCTACATCGCACTCCTCCATACTGCAGACTGAGGAGCAAGCACAAACTTCAGAACTAAGACAACCGGATTGTCTACGGCCCTTTTACCATCAATGGGCCGAGAATGTCCGACAGATGAGTATTGGAGATTGTACGATCAGGATTCATGATTCCCTTCACCTCCCTTCCTCCCATCAACCCAGTCCCTCTTCAGGGACTCATCTCACAAAGAACTCTTACGCCTCAAGAGACACTGCCTTCTTACCATAGGGGTGATAGAGAGGGGCCCAAGTCAATTCAGAGGAAGAGGGTTCTATTCACGTTACTTCTTAACGCAGAAGAAGACAGGGGATTGGAGACCCATCCTCGATTTACGCTGGTTGAATTGTTACCTTCGAAATCAGCGTTTCAAGATGGTGACACTTTCCATGATAATCCCTTCTCTCGACAACGATTGATTTGCAGCCCTCGACCTACAGGATACTTTTCATGTCACCATACACCCTGCGCACAAGCGATGCCTTCGTTTTGTAATAGGCAACGAGCACTTCCAATATTGGGTGTTGCCCTTCGGTTTGGCATCAACCCCCACGGTCTTTTCAAAAACCCTAGCTGTTGTTGCGGCACACCTGCGCCAACTAAAGCTCGTCATCTTCCTGTATCTCGACGATTCCCTAATCAAGGGCACAACAAAGCAGGAGATCTTTCACATGGTGACGCTAGTCAAGCAAACGTTCGAGTCTCTGTGACTCATAGTAAATGAGCAAAAGTCCACCCTCAATCCGACCCAAAGCATAAAGTTTATAGGAGCCATGCTCGACTCCCTCACCGCGAAGGCTTATCTACCGCTGGAAAGATTCCAGGCAATTCAAGATCTGGTACACATAGTCGTGCAGGCTCCAACAATTTCAGTACACACTTGCCTGAGGCTGCTCGGTCATATGGCCATGACGTGCATATTGTCCCTAATGCACGTCTTCACTTACGGTGTCTACAACACTGTCTGGCAACTATGCACACACCCTCAAAGCACAGCATTCACAAAATAGTGACTCCTCCAAATTATGTTCGCATATCCCTCTGCTGGTGGACGAAGTCAGACAACCTTTTGACGGGAGTTCCATTCCACCATCCACAACCATCCATTCAGATAACAACAGACGCGTCCCTCATCGGGTGGGGCACACACGAGTGGAAAACGCATACAGGGCAAATGGTCGCTTTCCGAAAGGTATCCGCATATAAACCTCTTGGAGCTGAGGGCCGTCTTCCATGCATGCAGAAACTTTCACTCGCACATAAAGGGCACTACCGTCAGAGTGCTGATGGACAATGTAGCTGCAATGTAGTACATAAACAGATAAGGAGGAGCAAGGTCACGCCCCCTATGTGCAGAAGCGGTGCGTTTTTCGAATTGGTGCATACGAAACAACATCACCATCACAGCGTCTTACTTACCTGGCACCAGCAATGTCATCGCAGATGCTCTCAGCAGGAGGTTTCCCATGGATCACGAATGGGAAATAAGGATGGATGTTCTCCAACACATCTTTCGCATGTGGGGAACACCTGTGCTAGAGCTATTCGCCACTTCCAGTAACGCGAAGTGTCGCCTCTTTTGCTCCAGAGTGGGCATCGGCAAGGGCTCACTCGGGGATGCTCTTCTAATCAATTAGAGGAAAGCACTCCTTTATGCTTTCCCCCCAACAGTCCTTATTCCCAGAACGCTGGGAAAAATCAAAGTAGAATTGGCAACTGTAATCCTCTTAGCTCCAACTTGGCCAAGACAGCCTTGGTACCCGTTCCTACACAGCATGTCAGTAGTGCCACCTTGGCCGCTCCCTCCCCTACCAGATCTTCTCTCACAAGGACACGGTTCTCTCCTTCAGCCCTGACCAGACTCCCTACAACTGACGCCAGGGCTCCTAACTGGCTCAGGCCAGGAGAGGACATCTGTTCAGATCAAGTCAAAATGATATTAATACACGGTAGAAAATCATCCACTCAGAGTACTTACCTTGCAAAATGGCGTAGATATTCGCATAGGTGCTCTTGCAGCAACATCAAGCCTCAGGGCACTCCTCTACACCATATCCTTAACTATGTCGTCCACCTGCAGAGCTCCGGACTTTCTCTTTCGTCTCTGAAAGTACATTTGGAAGCTATCAGTGCTTTTCATTCTCCCATTGAGGGAGTATCAGTGTTTGCGCAACAAACTACCAAAAGGTTTCTAAAAGGCCTAATGAACTTATTACATCCTCCGCATAGGCCACCCCCCCTTTCCCGGAATCTGGATCTGGTACTCGATACCATCATGTACCCTCCTTTCAAACCACTAGCTACCATATCATTACAAATGCCCACTATGAAAGTAGTCTTTCTACTTGTGATCACATCAGCACGCAAAGTCAGCAAGCTAGCGGCACTGATGGCAACTCCACCCTTTACCTTTTTCTCAAAGTATTCAGTCACGTTACGCTTTCACCCAGCATTTACTCCCAAGGTGTCTTCATCCTTCCATATTAACTAACCTATTGTCCATCTTTTTTATCCCAAGCCTCATTCATCACAGAGAGACTCATTACTACATTCACTCAATGTACGCCGGGCGCTTTCCTTTTATACAGACAGAACTCGACAGTGGCGCCACACAGACAGGCTTCTAGTGTCAATTGCACAGCGCTCCAAAGGCAATGCACTCTCTAGCCAACGTATAGCTAGACTTATAGGCATATGCATCACTACTTGCCATTTATTAAGGGACAAACCTCTTCTTTCACGACCAAAGGCACATTCTACTAGAGCGGTAGTGATCTCCATGGCCTTCACCCAAAGAGTCCCACTGAGTGATATTTGCCGAGCAGCCACCTGGGCTTCCGGCACCTCTTTCATGTGTCATTATGCTATAGTACGATGCCTAGCAGCAGACTCGGCGGTTGCATCCATTATTGGTTGCAGAAACTCATTGATCCGGAGCGCACACTGACTACTGTTGTACAGTCACCTAGAGTGGAGAACCCACGGGGACCACTCGAAGAAGAAGAAGTTACTCACCTCGGTGCAGTAACGATGGTTCTTCGGATGTGTCCCCATGGGTGCTCCACGTCCTACCCTCCTCCCTGCTCCAGGGTTTGTTTTTGTCTCGTTCCAGATACCTAGCGGTGAGAAGAACTGGCGGGAGCCAGACTGTGTGAAAGTAGAAAGGCGTGAACAGCGCGAGACGATAACCGCGTATGCACGGTCCGGCTGATGACAGCTGAAAAATCCTCCAACCAGCGGCACTGGGATAAGCCCGACACCTAGAGAAACTAGAGTGGAGCACCCACAGGGACACATCTCGAAGAACCATCGTTACTGCACAAAGGTGAGTAACTTCTTCCACTCTTTCTTCCCCTAGAAGTAAAAAGGTAAAATTAAGGGGCAGGGTATAATTTGCTTTTACTTAATAATGCTTTTGTTAAATAAAGTGCATCGTGTTTTATTTTGTATTTCTTTGTTGTCTTTTTAGGAACTGTTAAAATGTGTGTGAATGCACATCTAGCATGTGGAAGCATCAAATGTAAGTGAGGACTCTGATGTCTCGCTTTGTTCTGGAGAGAGGTTCCAATACAGAGTCTTGAACTCCAGCATCCCCTTGGAGCCAGCTGTGGTGAGTTGAAGCCAAACTAGTTGGATGGTGACAACGGATCAGAATTATCCTAGTACCGTGGCTCTCATCTTTTCCAGACTACTGTATCCCTTTCATTGCTCCGCTTTGTCTTGCATACCCCTAAGTTTCACCTCACTTAAAAACTACTTGCTTACAAAATCAGATAATACAAAAGTATCACAGCACACTATTACTGAAAAATTGCTTACTTTCTCCTTACCACACAATTATAAAATTAATCAATTGGAATGTATAGTATATAAAGCCGTATAAACAAGTCATGGAATGAAATTTTAGTTTGTATTGGTTTTGCTAGTGCTTTTGATGCATCCTGTTGTAAAACTATACTATTATATAGATGAGATGGATGACCTCCGTGTATCCCTGGTGAGAACAATTTGCCTAGTGGAGTGACAGCAGCACACCAGACAGGAGCTGCAACCGTGGGCCACAGAAGACCTAGTCAGACAGTACTAGATCAGATACAGCTAGCATCAGTAGACAAAACAGTCCTCATCAGTAATGTTCTCTATCTTTTCCATCTATGTGCAAAATAATTGTTATGCGTACAGAGGCACGTGTGACTGTGCACTGCTAGTTGAAACAAAAAAACCTAAGGGTGGGCTTTCTGGGAATCAGTTGGTCGGCATCTGATTCTCCTGTGTGGCTGCACAAGTGCATAGCTTACGGGGAACACTGTTCATTAGTTTTGGCAGGTCAGATTTGGCAGAGACACATCAGAGCTGTCCATAACAATCAAACTGAGGAGAACATCCTCCATCTGCACCCACATGACCCCTAACTACTAAGTCCAATAATTTGTCAGTGTGGGGGCTAAGGTGGGAGTCTCAACGAGCAGCCAGGATTAATGTCTGATGCTCTGAGGACTGCTCCACTTCTCATCTATTCTGATATTTTGCTGAATTACACTGTTAAATGTAACTAAAAGGTGTTTCACATCCTGTTCAGTAATTTCATTTTGGAAGATGTCATTTTCTTGTACAGGCTAGGCTATGAAAGACATTAAAATTGTTAAAAATAACTGAATGCATCCACCTCTACATCATCTTTCACTGTAAAGGAACAAGACCTCTTTTAGATATCTATTTCCATTCTCTCTCTCTCTCTGATTATTGGGTTACATTCATTCAAATTCTCAAAGTATGCGCTTTAGTTATATCTGTGAATTTCTTGTTTGGATCCTGCTAGTAAGTTTTTTCCCTAAATGTCTGAGAGCAATTCTTAGTAGAGACTGAATAATGTCATTGAAATAAGAAAGGAAAAACCTAACAGTTTGGGTACGTCTACACAGCATTATTATTTTGGAATAACTGACGTTATTTCAAAATAACAAATAGTGCTTCTACACTGCAAGCCATTATTTCGAAATAATGGCGAGCTGAAAGACTTCTTACTCTTACTCCTGTAACCTTCATTTCACGAGGAGTAAGGGAAGTCAAAGGAACAGTGTTCTTCCTTTGACTTCCTGCTGTGTAGACAGTGCCAAAGGTCAAATTAAGTTATTTCAACTTCAGCTTCACAACTGATATAGCTGAAGTTGTGTAGCTTAATTTGACTTTTGCCCCGCTCTGTAGAAGTGTCCTTTGAGAAAAACACTTAGAGGCAAGAGCAATGGCAGTGTATTTAAGGAAAGAAGAGTTGAATCTGACAGAATTTGAAACAAAGGACAGAATTTCCAGTTCTCACTTGGATTAGGTTCACAGTTCTAGCAGCTAAAATGAATTCAATGGATACATATGCAGAAGTCAAAATGGTAAA